CTTCCCCCCCCCCCCCCCCCCCTCCTTTTTTCTGCAAGAAAAACTTTCCCCAGCCGGGTTTCTAAACCTTAGGTTGATCACTTCAGTGGACAATCGCTGACAATAGCCTAAGAAAAGGAAGAAAGACTGCCATCAAACTATGTGAATTAGAAAATTCATGTTTTTCCAAAACCACGCACCTCTTTTTTCTTATCTCGTTTGCTCTTCACCTCGTGAAAAGGATCTAGACAAATGATAAACTTCACATTAGAAATGAATTAGATAATAACAGAGCAATAGAAAAGGGACTTCAGCCATTCATGTACCCCAGATGTAGGATAACTTTTAATTTGAACAAAAAACCAGATTGCAAGACCATATAAATAAAAGAGTAATTGATCCGAAGGAAAAGTATAATTAAACAAGCAAACAGTGTGAAGAATTCTGAGTATAAAGAAGATGAACAACTACAATATGTAAACATATTTTCACCTTCAATTATAACGATGGCAAGACTTTGCACTTTTAATCATATGATGGCAAGAACGAAAGACGCCATTCAGACCAACTTGGACACATGAATGAAATGCATGGTATGTGCAGAAAACCTGAAGCACACTTCTGTACTGTCACATGGCAAATGTGCAAATTACATTTCCTAAGTTCTAATTCCAAGAGGCATGCAAATCCCATACAAGGACACAAACCATAATATAAATTGGTCACCGTGAACATCATTCAATGTTTCCCACCAATGAAGGTAAAAAAGTGTTCATAGAGTGGAATGACCCAAGCTGCCGTTCAAAACTCCACAAGTTGGAGCTAAAATCTACCCTTTATGGCGTGTGGATGTCTCATTCTGTCTGTGAATGTTTTGGAAGAGGGAGAGCAAAATAGAGATGAGAAAAGTAGCAGTTCACAACCGTATCATAAACCTCTTCTACTAATGGCAATGAGCCTAATTTGGAATTGCCTTATAAATTCTCTTAGGGTGAACTCAATTTGCATTGGCATTCCTTGAATCTAACAAAATTTTTTAACTTTCATCCAATGATGAGAAATGGATAACTTATTATAGTGACTTCAATAAATCTTTACCACATTTTGGATTATAAGCCCTTGTTATCTGAAATTATCTCCTTTCCTTTTTACTTTAGTTGTGGATGGACTAAGCACATAGGTGTGATCTAGTGTAGGGAAAGATAGGATTGTGGTATCTTATTTACAGTTTGTTGATGATACGATATTCTTCTCTAATGGTATGAGAAAAAAATAGTAAACTTATTGTGAAGGTTTTTGGTTTGGTGTTTGTTTTGAAAGTGAACATGGATAATAGTTGTTCTTGTGGGAATCAACTCATGTATTGATAATGTCAATAGAGTTGCAAGACTCTTGGCATGTAAGGTGGGAGAATGGCATTTGAAATTCTTAGTGTTACCTTTGGCTGGGAATCCATTGTCACTAACTTATTAGGATTCGGTGGTAGAAAGAGTGAAGAAAAGTTTTGATGGGTGGAAAAGAGCTTTCATTTCCAAAGGTGGCACGTTAACTTTAGTGCAATCAGTCCTAGTTAGTATTCCACCATATTTTTTATCTTTATTTAAAATGCTAAGGAAAATTGCTTTTAAGATAGAAAAAATAATGAGGGATTCTAACTGGTGGGGGGGAGGGGGGGTTGGTCTAGTCCTAGGGACAAAGGAGGCCTTTCTATCGGTAATTTGAAGGTAAGAAACAGAGCATTAGTAGGTAAGTGGTTGTGGAAGTTTCCATTGGAGTCAAATTCTTGTGGCATTTAGTTATCAAGAGCAAATATGGTTTACATGTCAATGGTGGGACACTAATAGGGTTGAGTGGGCAATTTTTTTTTGTCCATGAAAATTCATATATAACGGTTTAACAAGGTTTTTCGAAGAGTTGAGATTTGTGGTGGGTAATGGGGAGAGAATATGTTTTTGGTAGCATGCTTAGGTGGGAGAGTTTTCTTTTTCATTTATGTATGCACATCTCTACCAACTAGCTTATTCTCAGAGTGTTTCTATTGCCTTTGTGTTAAGGTCTTCTAACCATCCTTACTCTTGGGATTTAAGATTCCGAAAGAATATAAGAGATGGAGATATTGGGGATCTCACTTCATTTCTTGATATCTTATATAGTTGTTCGTTGAATCTCGAGTCATGTGATAAAAGACAGTGAGTGCTTGAATCGTCTGGTGTAATTCTTGTAAATCCTTCTTTAATTCTTTGTTGAATCAATATTCATGTCCTATTTTTTCCCCAACTTTGATGATAGGGAAGGCTAAAGTGCTTATTAAACCATAAGTTTTTCCATGGACTGTTGCACATGGAAAGCTTAACGCTTGTGATGTGCTTCAAAAAAGAAGACCTCATAGTTATTTTTGCCTATGTGATGTGTAAAGGTGATTGTAAAAGTATAGGTCACTTATTTTTACATTGCCTTATTATTTTGGCTATGTGGTATAAATTGTTTCGAGTGACAGATTTGGACTGGGTGCTTCCTTATCATCTATATTCTTCTTTATTAAAGAATAAAGATATGAAAAACTTTGGGAGGTTCAATAAAGGTGTGACTCTTTGGAATTGTGCTATTATTGCTACTCTTTGGGTTATTTGGAAGGAAGAAATGCGAGAATCTTTGAAGATTGATATGAGTCTTTGGATGGTTTATGGGATTGTATTCATTTCTTAGCCTCATTTTGGACTTTAGTTTCCAAGGATTTTAAAGGAATCCCACTCTTTGCAATCTTAGCGAATAGCGAGATGAAGAGAAATTTGTGACGTATAGGCAAGAATCAAAATTTTATTTCGGTACATTATTTCGGTCACCTAAGGATTGAAAACGGAAATGTTTCAACGTATTTCAGAAACGTTTCAACCCGTTTCAAAAGTAGAATAATAAAAAATAAAAAAAATTAAGAATTTATTTTTCAGAACATTGATCGAAATATATCAAAATATCTTGAAATGCGTTGAAGCATTCTAAAATAATTGTGCAAATACATTGAAATATAACAAAACATTTCAAAACATTATGAAACACTTCAAAATATTATAATTGCGATTTCATCACTAATTCATTTCGGTCTCCTTGGAAACGAAAGCATTTTGGATGTTTTGACCGCTTTGAAACGATATTTTGATCCTTGCGTATAGGCTTGTTATGTAACTTTATCTCTCTCGTTGTTTTCTTTTCTTATTGGTTGGATTTCTTAATCTAACTTTTTTTATGTTACTTTTATTTCTTAATCATTAATAAAGCGTTTAGTTTCTTATCAATATCAATATATATATATATATATATATAGTAACGTTTTGATTTTGGTTTTCCGTTTTTGTTTTCAATTTTTGTGATAACTGAAAACAAAAAAAAGTTTCATAAACATTTTCGTTTTTTTCTAATGAAATCGTTTTACAATTAGTGCCCATTTTTGAAAACAAAAAATATTATTTTCAAAAGCAGCCAAAAAACGAAAATGCGCTGGCAACCCATCCCAATTAATGAGGTCTACACATCGAACCCCTTAGCAACAGAATCCCCCTTTTTCCTTTGAGCCTTAAAAACCCATATGGTTCTTCATCTAACACCTCTTCTCTCCCCATCTCCAACTTCTCGACCTTAGAAATGTGCTATCTCTTTCGCCTCTCCTCTCATTCTCAATCACCACTGCCTACGTTTTACTCGTCTCTCTCACTGCCTACAATTCTATTTGTTGAAAGCAGCAACTCCGTCGACAGTCAAACTATGTATAATTTGTTTTGTCAATCTGTGATATGTTTTTATTCATTTAAACCAGATGATTCATTCGTTAGATCTTCGAATTTCTTCTTTGTTAGATCTGATTTTTATGTTAAATTTTTACAAGTTGAAGTGTTGTGATAGATCTTTGTTGGAATCAAATTTTTTTCCCACATTTTAGATATTGTTTTTTCATTTATTTCATGATGCACCTTAAAAGGTGTGCTTCCACATCTCATTTCTTGTGGAAAAACTTGAAGACACTAAATCTGTTGACTCATGGAATTGGATATCCTATATGTCCCACAAAAGCGATCAAAGGACAAGCCCTTGCAGCGCATCCAATTCTAAACGATTCTCCCCTGGACCTTCCTAATGAAGAAGTCTTTACGATCGATCAAGGCCGGATTCCCAAGGTGGGAAATGTACTTTGACAGCGCATCCAAAGTTTGCACCTATTTTCTGCATGTTATATGCAGATTCATGAAATTGACTCATGTTGTGAAAAACAAGTGATCTATAGGAGGATATCCTTTTTTTGATTTTTTTGTTAGGTTTTGTCATATGCTTTTATATACATGAAGTAGCATAACTGAATGTCATTTCATTGCCAAATTACATTCTTTCTCCCTGTTGGGTGTTGTCATTTTCGATGTCATTCATAGCTGTTGGGTTTTGACTTCATGTACTCACATGTGTTACTATATTTGCTTTTTTTATTTTGAGATGTGGGATATGATGTTCATTTTGGATGGTTGTAGGTAGCTTTAAAGTGCAAAAAAACTGAACATGCAAGAGTTGATCATTATATACATGCCCACAAGATTGATGCCATTCATGTGGCTAGATCACTGCTACCTCACAAGGGAAGAGCCTAATGTCATTCATCAAGCCCAAGTTGGATTGCAAGACAATAAATGGGTCACCATTTTGATGCTCACTTGTTGTGGTTGTAATGTGGGCTAAAGTTGTGCACTATTTTTCTTCCTATTGTTACTATTTATTGGGATTTTACTTGAGCAATGTGGTATTTGTATTTGAAAGGCTATGGATAATGGGATGTTTAGATGGATTAGTATGTTGTATGCTTATAAACTATGAGATGTACTTATGAGCAATACGATGACTTTTTTGAATCATGCTTGTGTTTTGTTTTTGCAATTAAAAAACAGGGAAGTGAAAAAGTATAAACAAACTATTTATACCATCATTCGAACTGGTTACCAAATGAGTTTTTGGTTTCTGTTTTCATATCATTTCGACAAATAGGAAAACCAGCCAAAAAGGTTTTCTGTTTTCATGTTTTACTAAAAAAATAGAAACCGTTTCCTTTTTTAATTTTTTTGAAAACTAAAAATTGTAAATGTTTTCCAACGCCACCCTAGATAGAAAATTTAAAAAGATGTTACAATTCAAATTTTTTGCAGTCATGAATGAAAATGAAAAATTCATCTACAGAGAGAATTGCGGCAACACCCAACAGATGTGACCCTGAAATAATTTAGCTCCAAGCTAGGAAGCACAGATACAAATATGTGACATGGGTACGATACGATACGGATACGACGATACGACAAAACTTAAAAAAACAAGATACGGGTACAGCCAGGATACGTCTATAATAAAATATATTTTATATTTTACTATTATTTAACGACTTAGAAATTATAATTTTTAAACAATTTTTTAACATTAGTAAGTAAAATAATGAATTTTTACCATGAAAATGATGTAATATTGTCTCATTATGATATGTTCATAAAATGAGCATGACCAATTGAAGAAATAATAACGACATTTAACTAGTTTGTTTTACAAGTATTTATTTTTAAAAGTATAGTGTAAGTGACTCATTTTTTTATACTCTCTTAATATTTAATAATAGATAATACTTAAAAAACACTCGTGTCTTCAAAATCAAATAGAATGTTGTTGATGTTTTATATTGTATGTGAACTCCAAAGAAGGGGTATAGCTTAAAATTGAAAATTGTGCATCCACTCCATGTTTAGAAGTATCCACGAAGTATTCACATATTTTATTAATTATCAGATACAGATGATGCGTATTCGATATGTATCATTAAGTATCCGACTAGTATCGTATCCGATACGGTATTCGATATGGGTACGTCGACCTTGACGAAGTATCCGTACTTCATAGGCTCCAAGCCTTAAGAAGGGTATAACGAATATGTTTTGTTGACTCACGGTGCGAATATGGGTTAATAGTGCTCAGTCCCCCCAAAAAACTTCCACATTCCTCGCACTCCTCCCTAAGCACTAACATGTGGCAACTCAGAAACAAAGGACTCCAAAATTTTAGCAGGGGTCTGGCCACTGCCTGCTTCCATCTACCTCCACCTCTGTCTGGCCAATACATTCTTACTTCAAAATTTCCATTCCCACCCACCCCGAAACTTCAACACCCCTTTATAAACAAATAAACATAGTACACACCACGTTACCTATATTTTGTAAAGTTTTCCTGTTTGTAACCTATATCCGTCAATACCAGGATATTTTCCACAAACAGTAGCCCATTTAAATTAACAGAAATATAACAATATGGGAAGGCATTAAAAAATGAACATACCAATTAAGCATCCAAGAAGGACATGGAGGTAGGAAAGAGAATGTTTTCTTTTCCATGTTCTACTACTTGTTGACAAATATACTTTGTCACTTCAACAGGCCATTTGCCCTTGGTTGGATAAAGCTATATTCTTCCCTAAGAAGGTCTTACTGGTTTCCATTTACCCTTTTCAGTAAATTGTGCATTTTTCTATGATACTAGGAAAGTTCTTTCTACTATTTTTTCTAATAGGAGGACGTCTTAGTAGTTATATCTTACAAGCATAAATTTCTGCCCAAAACATTCCAGAATGGGTGGCAGAAAACTGCCATAATAGCCAGTCCTTTCCATAGCATCAATTATAATGCAGATGGCAATATTCACATTGTTTAAAACAGAAATTTTTTCATTTAGCAATAGCATTTGAACACTCAGAGAAAACATAAACCCTGTTCTTAAATATAATAGCTTGTGGCATAATACCCACCCTAACTACATCCTGAATGGTTCTTTTTAAATGTAAACTACCTCAACAATGCTTCTCCTATTATCCTTGTAAAAGGGGCATCTGCAATTTCATGAGACCTCCCATACCGGGCTAAACACTAAGAGAGATACTTAGTAAAAACTTACGACACGACATACCTGCACACACATATATCTACTTTTGTGTGAATGAATATGCAAATGACCAACAAACATTAAAATATCATAGGAATCAAACCTTGTGCACATACTTCAGCAAAATGAATTCAAAGCATTCAGGACAGATAAAGAGCAAGCATTACTGCACCACGTTTTAAAAAAAACTACATAGCCAATTAAAATTTTCGGCCACTGAGAAAATAAAGTAAAAGTAATTAACTAGGCACAAACTTTTAGGGCATAATTAACCTCAATTTCTCATCTTTCACATCCCAAGAACTTAAAACAATACACAAAACACAAACAAAAAAAAAGTCCCAAATTTTCCATTTTCTTAGTTTTTCAAAATTGTATCAATAATCAAACAGCAGATAAATAATGAAATTCACCATAGTAATTTCAACCCATTTTCCAAAATCCAAAACAGAACACAACTGAAAACCCCAGAAGTCTCAAAAAATAAAAAAATAAAAAATTACTTAACCCAAGTTTTCTCAGTGATTAAACATCATGTGAATAAAAAAAAATGCCACTATATAAAATGGAGCCGATTAAAAATAAACAAAGATCATAAAAAGAACAGATACTGATGAGAGAGAAAGAGACAGTGTAGTGTATACATATACAGAGAGAGATTTATCATGGGAGTTAAAAGGTTAAACCTTGAGAGAGAAGCCTATTGACAGCGTCGTAAGGGTCCATATTACACTCTTTGAGCATAGCGTAGATCTCCGTTTCTGGACAGTTTACTATCTCCTTTAAGCTTTGTACCATCTTTCGAGACGCCGCTGGTATCGATTGAACCCCAACAACCCCACCACCACCTCCATTGTTACTGCCTCTTCCACTCATACTTTCTCTCTCTAGAATCCCAGATCTAACAGGGAAGAGAGTGCCTTGTCTATTACACACTGTATCACACCACTCACTCTCTCTCTCTCTCTCTCGGCTCTGGTGCTATAGAGTTCGCCGCTAAGAGAAGATATCTATGCGCGCTCTCTCTCTCTCTCTCTCTCTCTCTCTCTCACCTTATTTTAGTAAGTGTGTGTGGGTTGAGAATAAGAAGGCAATTTACCACTTTTAATAAATTATACTTTTACCCTAAAAGTTTCTACCTATTTTCTATTTGGTCTCTAAACTGTCAAATGAAACGATCAAGTCCCAAAACTTTAGAGTTTCTACCTATTTAAAATAAAAATTTGGTGGCCGGTCCCTTTTTGTGAAATTATTTGGTGATAAGTCTATCAACGAAACTTACTTAAAAATAAGTGTATTTTGAGCTCTATTGTCTAATAGTTATATTTAATTAAAATAAATTTAAAAAATAAAAACTCCTAAATTTGTAACATTAAAATTATTTATCTCTCGTATCTATCTAGATTATCTATCTAGATTATGGCTATTTTCCTCTCATATATATATATATATATATATAGATATACTAATTTATGCACACATACATTATTATTTTCAATTATAGTTAATATGATATTTATTATTAGCACCTTTTTCATGACACGTTTGAATCAATAAAGACATTTTTTATTCAAACTCGTTATTTGGACATGCATGACACTACTTTTGCTTAGAAATACAATATACTTGAATGAATGAAGTTGTACATAGGTCAAGTTCTTAATCAAATGCAAAAAAATAAAATAAAATAAATAAGTTCGATAATATTCTCACTGCATTTCAGTCTCACTCCATGGTATCATATCTTGTCGTATCCAATGACTTCTTTATCTGGAACAATTCAATCTAAAATTGAGATTAGAATCACATGGATTTGTTTTTTCATTTATTAACAAACGGGCAAAAAGAGTGCTATTTTTTAATTGAACAGCTTAAGTAATAATTTTACTGTGGTCATTGAACATTTGTTTGACTAAAAGATGAATATACATTTATTAGTAGTTTTTGGCTTATGTTACATTACCTCCTCATCCAATTATGTCGTCTAAGCACCAATTACACAATACTCTCATTGTGGACCAAAAAATTTGGAACAAAAATTGATGGCCCCGATTCAGACTAGGTCTAGAATTACAGACTTGGCCCAACTCAGAAATACAGGCCAACAAAAACTAAGTTTATTGCATTGGAAAACCCAGTCTACTAATGACGCACGTGAAATCTCTATCTTAAGAAGGGAATCAGGGTACGCATTGCAAGTCTCAACCAACTCATCTATTACGCTAACATCACAGAGCCACCCACTCCTGTCACAAAAGTGACACCTTAATCAGGGCTCCCCACGATGACGTCTCCATCAAAGCCCAATCTAGGGCACCATGAAGACTATGCTTCCCTATAAATTGTAAGCCACATTTACACATGAGAAATATCACACACATTTCAGTACACTATGCTTCTTGAGTAATAAGATTATTTGACCACCGTAGTCATTCCCAGTGGAGTAGGTCACTCTGACCGAACCATTTAATCTTTGTGATTGTTTGTGTTGAGCGCTCTTATTTCATCGTTGATTTATTTTGCATAAACCTACTTTTGTGCATCATCAAAAATAAATTCTAATTTTTTTTCTAAGCTAGAATCATAACCAATAATTCACCAATATACAAAATAACATGTATATATGAAACATGAACACATCACTTAGTATCTACTAGATAAGTTTTGAGAATCTCACTCAACAATACACTAAGTTATAGCACTTAAAGAAGAGGTAACTCAACAATCAAATCAAAAACTTTCATGTTGAATTCATCTATGACCAAGAAAATAGGACGCAATTCACTATTGTTCTTATGACTGTTAAAAAATTGCATCATTTGTTGTTGAAGAGATCTAATCCAATGCCTCACGACAACACATAATAAATGGAGATGGCTTAAGGTAATTGGTCTCTACACTTTCTAATCTATTTACAATTACCATAATCCATGGAACTGACCTTCATGCGCATTTTAAGTTTACTAGTTGGTGAATACGTGCGTTGCACGTGGACCATTTTGAGTTATTTTTTTTAACAAAGTATTGCTTGGCCAAATTATTCTTGAAAGACCTTACATTGAACCATAAATAATAATCTAGATTCCAACTTAAAAGAAACATGATCTTTAGGTTACCAAACTTCTCATAACATAATATTATTATCTAACAAAAAATATTCAGGATAATGATATGAAAACCAGACCCCACATACAATTGAAACGACAACCTTGCCTTTTCAAAAAAGAGAGATAGAAATAAAAAATTGACGTAACTATGAAATATTGTCTTTCTAAAGGCTGTTGTTAAAAAGGATCAACTATCCAGTAGTACTGTTCAATACTTCATTAAATAATCAATCTCAAACTCTCCAGTCAAATCCATTTCCAACTTCTCAAATGAAGTTCCCACCAATTTACATCATATATGAATTAAGTTCAATGGTGTATACAAGATTTTCAAAATTCAGAAGAAAGAACGACCTCAAAAGGCTAAAAAATATTAGTGCTTAGTTGCAACAAACCTATAAACTTTGAAAGTATGTCCATGACCATTTAAGTTCAAAAAATATTAATTTTACTATCAGCCCCAACCACTATACCTTCCAGCTTAGAGAACAATCAATTTGATCAGCAACATATGAAACTAATCTAGAGTCATTAGCCTACAAATAACATAACAAATCAAATAACATTTTCAAACTACATAAATTGAAAATAGTGAATGAGATTTGTTTCGGGAACTCACCTCATCCATCTTTCCAAGATCCAAGCCCTCAAAGTTCTTCAATGTCAAAAATAGTGGTAAAGTGGACTGTCAATGGCTATATGCCGAGTGAATTAATGTTTGAATGGGTTCTTTTCAAATTCCAACTCCATGGGCCAAAGTGCATGCAAATTAATGACATTGATTTTATTAGTAGTTTAGATATAGAGATATTAATATAGTAGCTCAACCATCACCATTTTTTTTTAGAATTAAAATAGCAACCAAAGACTCAATTCAATCCACATAAATGTGACAATTGCATATAATTTAATAATGTTATTAACTACAAAAAGATATGATAGACGTTAGTTATTTTGTCAAGGTTATTTATGTCAAACAAAAAATTTTCATTTTTATTGACATTTTAAAGTAGTATAGATTATGAAGTTGTAGAATTGTTAGGTACATTAGACGACATGCATATTAGAGCAAAGGTACCCTTAATCAATCAGGCAAGATATTTGGAGTAGACACATGGATATATCAGCCAATGTCTTCGGTGTATGTTCTCAAGATATGAAATTAATTTGTGTTGCCTAGTTTGGAAGGGTTGGTTGCGGACTCTTGGATACTATGGGATGCAGCCAGGTGACAAAATGTAAGTAAATAATTTTAAATTATATATTGATACTATTTTTATTTTTGTGCATGAGGGGACAAACATAATAACTATTTCAAAAATATTTTTTTACATTTTAGATATAGGTTTGAGAGAAAGTTATAAATTATTATGTTTGTTCAAATTCATACAAATCTAGTATTGATATTTATTCTTATGAAATGTCAGAATGACGTCACCCTTCAGTCAATCCTAAAATTTGAAATTTGTTGTTCTACTTAGAAAAATCTAGTAATTTTTCGTTTAATCGACTAACCAATTAATATTCTAACAACTTTCACAGTATTGATCATTAATTTGGTGGTGGTGGATTTGGAATGTACTACATAGGTGGAAAAATCTCATATTTCTCTTCAAGCCAAGATCTCTAGCAAATGGATCTAGTAAGCTAAAAAATGTAAACCCGTACAGTAATCCTATTGAGTTGGTATGATTTATAACTTGAAAACGTACTATGAACTAATTCAATAATGTTACTTGACCATACAACTTCCTTTGTTCTAAGTTATTCAAGAATAACTACAATAAATAAAGGAAGATGAACCAAATAAGATGTATACACGTTTGTGTGTGTATCTAGAGAGAGAGAGAGAGATTTTATAACATCTTGTGTGCTCATTTCTTTTGTCTTTGTCTAATCCCTACGTCTTGAATGGAGCACAGTGATTACTCCAATTGTAAAAGGATCCACAAAAACCAAGACATTAGGTAAATCGTAGCACATAAGAAATTTATTGAATTTCTTGTAAAAACGTGAATAAATGGTTTCAAATAGCTAAAGCAGTAACATTTAGTACCAAACCAAGCTAAATGAACTCAATGACCAAATATATTTTTTCCCTACAAATAAAGTACATATTATGCCAAACATAATTAAGAAAAGAAAATAGACTAGAATGCTTATCCATATTCTGCACTCTCACAAATAATAGATAACTGATTTTAACACTACTAATGGTAGACGGGGTTCATAAATACCAATTCACAATATACTCTATCACTTACCTATCTGAATAGCATAAAAAATTTGTTGTAGGTTGCACAAAGAAAGTTTAGTGTTGAAAAATGCTTTATAATGCTTACACCCATTTGATCCATGTCATCAAATCGGCACCACAATACAGTTGCAAGATGTGCATGCAGTCATCCATACGTCTGGAGCATAAGATTGATAACTTCGAGCCTTCAAGCATCATTCGCGTGGATGGCACTTCAAATGTTCAAAGACATAAGTTGGTAATAAAACAGACAGAGAAGATATGAGCATTCAATGGATCAATGGATGCCAATGTAAGTTTTTTCAAGGCTTTTTGCACCTGATAACATAATGAAAAAACAAAGAGAAAGAATGAAAGAAAGAGTTTTATTAAAGAAACTCAATATTGTTAGGTTGATATAACCAATATTGCCCAAAACTGGCTAGAGCTTAAAAACACATTGAAGTAACTCTCAGTTTCATCAATGCAACGCAAATGGAGAGGCAAGTCTCTCAAAGCATTTATGTTTGAATTTTGCTTGGCAGTTTCAGTTTATTGCATTGGGAAGGAGAGGAAATGAAGGATATCCAAGAGCACCTACAAGGATATAGACTTAGTCCAAAGAGAC